GTTTAAAGGATGACATGAAGTCTTGAAGCCTTGAGATGATTATTCCCATTGTTACCATCTTGGCTGTTTTGCTAAAATGGTTGGAGGGGAGAAGAATTTGAGGGGAATTTACACTAAGCAAAGTTGATCTGAGCACCCACTGTCCTCCAGTGATAACACTAAGGTACTTCAATAATCCACATTCTGCAAAAACCTTTCACTACTACTTCCAATAAAGAAAAAGAGACAACTATTATTACACTGTTATAACAAAATGTGATACAGAAAATAATCACATATGACTTTTATTGTAAAAGTGGCAATTTGTTCTCACGTCATTCAAAAAGCAATCAGTATAACTAAGTAAATAAATATCCTACTCTTCTTGGGTAAATGCAATAATATCAGAGTATTTGTGGGGATATTTCACCAGTAAGTAGTAGCTTCAAAAGTAGAAGTCAACAACATTGCTCAGCATTTCTTAATAAATAGCAGTAATCAACTCACCTGATATTTAAAATATTTAAGTTTCCTTTTCAACAGTTTAAAGGTTCAAAACATTTAAAACTGTACCCTATCCAGTTTCTCAGAAACAAAATCTGCTGTAAACCAAAAGAAGTTTACTTAAAAAAAAAGATAATTTTTCAAAAAGAATTATTGAATCCCATTTATTATGTATATGTACCACCAGCAGCTGGAGTCATTTTATTGAAAGCTTTCTCCACATTCTGAGACTACACTGAAGTAAACTGCAAAGTTGCCATCAAAATGACATCAAACCACTTTTAGTGTTTTCTATTCCAAGCGTTGATTGATATTGCATTAATAATTATAAATATCAATTGTAGTTGAGGAAGTATTAGAAATACAGCAGTGAGGTGAGTGTTTAATGGTTGTAGTGGTTATTAATGGTTATGCCCTGACAGTCCCACAATTTTCTTGCCATTTTCACATTCATTAAAATGAATGACTCTTTCATTTCATGTCTGTTTTGTGTTAATTTCTTATATAAATCTGTGCACGATGTTGTGTAGATATTTTTCTCCAAAAATAAATCCTAATAAATAATAATAATTCCAAAATCCTGCTTTGAAAAACATTAATTAAGGATTAACAGTTCATGTATAGACTAGTAGATAGATTAGTTATATGTGATAAATTAATCTATGGTATAAACACTTCTCATAACTTAAAGTGGACCCAAAACTGTGAAGGTATGAAATATGGCTTGTATGTAAAAGGTCAAATCACAGAGCGGGGCAGTGCCTGTGTTTCACTGGGAAAGGATGAAAAACATTGTAAAACAAGTATAAGGAGCCACCAGAGTCATGTTTTTTTTTTCATAGTAGAACATGCTTTATTGATGCTTTTGCAGGAAAGAATTGAAAAGTAAAAAGTCTTGGAAAATACAAATAGTGAATAGTGAAGCATTTAAAGGCACATTAAAGGAAACTTGATGATAGTTTACTGTATATGATTCTTGCAAGCAAAAAACTACAAATCCAAACCAAAAAATCCCTTAGACTACTTTAAAACTGCAGAGTTCCATAACAGGATGTTCAGTCATCTGTGTGCAGAGTTAAAAAACTGCTGCCAGACAAACAGAAAAATAAAACAAGAATTTCAATTCAGCAATTCAAGGGTGGATGTCGTTTTACTTGATCTCAATGCTTCTGATGACAGCATCCCCATGAAAGCCCATGACAGAGTATTTCTCTGCACCCATGCGATTGGGGAAACAGAACGTTGAGCCATTTGATAAAGTCACCACAAACTCTGAGCAAGTGAACTGAATGGAGATCTAAAAAAGGCATTTTGAGTGAGAGAAACAGAGAGACAAAGGATGTGAACACTGTAATATAGCTCAGGAAAAGGTCAAATAATGACGTTTTTAATGCAATCAAAGATACCGTGACACACATTTTCCAACAGAGATTGCATGAAAGAGCAAGGCTACAATACGGACAAACACACTCTCACACCTTGAATTCCTTTCCTGGGCTGAAAGGAAAGCTTTTCTCATATTGCTCCTGATGCCAATTGCCTCCCTCAAAAGAGTTGCAGACAATTATATTTATGTGTCTGCTGTCATCAAAACGAGGGTTGAAATGAAATGCAATTCTGTCCTCGCTCTCACCAATATCCACAACAAACCTGCAATGAGAGAAAGCTATTACATTACATTATACAGTATTTAGGATCAGAAAATATGGGACTAAAATGGACTGACATAGAGATACAAAATTATCGGCACAGATTTGCAAATAATTTTGCTACAATAATTGCCCTAAGATAGTAAATCTTAATAAAATGGTGACAGAGTGTGATTACCTACCTTTCAGGGAAAGTTCACCCCCAAATAAAAATTCTCATATTTGCACATTTTATATCAGTACCTTTCAAACTTCAGTTACCTTAACCTCCTAAGACCCAAACTCTTTCATGGCATGCATTTTTAATTTCTCTTTTCTATTTGGGCTGATTGGGACCTGATGAATGAAAAGAAATTACCTGATTTTGTTTTTTTGTTTTTTTACCTAAGTGTTTTTTTCTGAGAAAAATTAGACCCACATGAGAGGACATTTGCTTTAAATTCAATAGAACAGTGGCACAGTATAATGTCCTCGTAAGTGGATATCGGGCCCTTGTAGAGCAAAATTTAATTTAATCACCCAAAATGTGATGTCCACGTATGTGGACAAAAGATCCTAGGAGGTTAAAGAGATACTTTACAAAATCTAATTTTCTAATTTTTCCTCTTACCTGGAGATTTAGTTATCATTTTTGTGCAACTTTTCTCTGTATAATAAGATGTATATTTGTGGAACTTTGATTGGAAGTACAATTACTCTTGTTACTCCAAAAAAGTCTCCAAAAGCTTTTTATTATAAATATATTTTATTTTTCAACTTTACTATGACTCACTCACTAATTTAAAAATCCTAATACATCTTATCCTTAATCAGTATTTACCTTTTGGGATCAGATTTGATGACTCCAACAACAGTCAGGGTTTGTTCGACCTTGAAGGTCATGTTCTTTATTATCATATCCTGTACAGATAAAGACAGGGATTTTTGGTGATACTGTACTGGACAGTGCTGTTTACTGGCTGAAGCTGAAATAATAAATGACTCCAAAAAAGAGTCAATAACATTACAAAATAGTGATGCACCCATAATAAATAATGCCCTGCATCAACCATCTGTAGCTGAGAAGACAAAATAACAATTAAGAAATGATTAATGCACACATATGCTCTGTGATGAATATTTCAATGATAAAAGGCCATCAAATAAATCCAAAATGTCAGAATTATTAAAAAACAACAAACCTAAAAGCATACTGCTTATACTTTAGTTTAAGCATAACTCTGCTGATTTAGTTACATCAACCTGGAAAAGAATAAGCTTGTACCATCTGCTTAAGACTGTATATATTTACTTACCTTCATCATCTTGGCATATGTAGTAGGTTAAGTACAGCTGAGAAGAAATGAGAGTTCTGCAGGGACTTAGCCTCTCTGCACCCAGGAAGACTGCATTATATAGAGTGTGGGAGGAGCCTTCAATCTGAATGACATTTCAAACAGGCAATATTACTCTGCAATTGCTTAAGACCCACTATTTGACTCATTGTCAAATTATAGACCATAAATAAATAATTAGTAGTTAACAAATACTTGCAGATGTTGGTGAAAATCAGTTGTCAACATCACACTGTTACATTGTAACCTGTATTTGTTCTTTGGACTTTCCCATTGTTTGAAATGTCTCCAAGAGACCCTCTCAACTTGAACAAGCCAGTGTGGATCACATAAAATCCCAAATAAATTCAAACTTGTGCATCCCATTCTTATTTAGAAAGTCATTAAAGATGCATGGGTACAATAATTCCATCATGGAAGAAGAATAGTTCAAAGTAGGGCTGGGCCATATCATACCATTCACGGTAATACCGGTATAATGTTGGGCAACGATAAGAAAATGAAATATCGCGATAGAATATGGGT